TCAATTTCATTTTTGACATATTTTATATCTCTAATCACTATCTCTTTTAATTCCTTCAGCAATTTGATCACTCCTTTTTTGAAATCTTGATCTAGTAGGCTATTGATGTCTATATCATTGATCTTTCTTTCAGGGGATTTCTCTTGTTCTTTTAATTGGGAAAGGTTTCTCTGCTTCTTCATCTTGCTCATACCTCTCTGGCACTGTGGTTTATGGAGTATCAGTTGTCTATTTTGGATCTTAAGGATTTTATCTATCTAATGCCTATTTAGGAATAGAACTTCGGAAAAAAAAGAAAAAAATAGAGAGAGAGAAAGAATTTTAAAAGAAGGAAGAAAGAGGGTTTGAAAACAGTGTATAATGAATAATAGAAGAGCGAGTTGAAGCAGAGTATTAATTGGGTTGAGACGTCCTTTTAAAACCTTAAAAAAAAAAGTGGGGGGGAGATGAATAGATGTATTTGAAACCTGTGTCTAATCAATAACCCAAGAGAAATAGAAATGAATTAAGAAGTAAAAATTAAGAGAGCAATAGAAAATAGAACAGGTAAAAACAGGTTTAAAAAAAAGGGGGGGGGGTTGTCAGTGTTCTCCTGGAGTCTGTGTGCTTTTAATGTGAAGTCTTTCTGTCTTCGTCCTGTTTTGGAAGCTCAGCTTGTTTTCAGAGGCCCTCCGTTGGCGCCCTCTTCTGTGCTGCTCCCAGCACCTGTCGGCAAGCAGATCGCGCCCCCTCCCAATACGGGATCAGGTGCAGCTCTCCTCTGCTGTGGGTGGGCGGGTCACTGCCCCTCCGGATGCCACAGTCAGATGTTGCAGACTGGCCAGGCAGGAGGGCGGGTCGTGCCCCCTCCCAGCACCGCGGTCAGGGGCTGTGTTCCTGCCCGAAAGGCGGGGGGCCGCTCTCCCTCTGCCTGCGCCGCCGGTAGCTCCGCTGCTCTGTGCGGCTGAGCGCTCCGCCGGTGGGGTCAGGGAAGACCGAGGGACAGCCTTGTCCCTGCTCCGAGCCAAAACCCAGCTCCTTGTTTGTCTTTGTGGAGCAAGTTCTCTGAGGGACCAGGACGGAAGGATCCTATCTGCCCCAGGCTGTAGGCCCATCTCAGTCTGGCCCTTGAGGCTGCTGAGGACTTCGGTGCAGATGCAGGTTTTGCCGCCATCCCCGCCTGGGTGCTCAGCGCCGGAGGATATGGCGGCTGTGCCTGGGCCCCGCCCCTCTTCCCCCGAAAAGTTTCCGCTGGTTTTCAGAGATGGGGGGTGTGCACCCTTCCCCCGAGAGCACATCAACCTTGCTGCTTTATGGAGGGCCCAGGTTGTTCTGTCCTGTACACCCACAGCCACGGCGCCCAGCCCCTTGCAGGCCCCCGGGGCTGCCTCCGTGCAGCCGCCCCCGCCCTCCGCCCGGCTTGTGCAGCCTGGCCCTGCCCGCTGCTGCCGGCCCGCGTCTCAGGCTGGGTATCGGGGGGACGCTCTGTGCCCGTTTAACTTAGTTCTGTCAGACCAGGGCTGCTCTGTACAGATCCGAGCCTCGGAGGCTCCCCCTCCGTCCCGCTGGCCTCTCAGTTGGAGAGGGGAGACCCAGCGAGAACGCCAGTCCTCCTTTGCCGCTCCCTCCCCGCGGGACCCGTCCCGCGCTGCTTTGCCTTTTGTTCTTTCTTTTTTCCTTTTCTCCTACCAGATTTTTGACGTCTTTATCTTTTGAAGAGGGCAATGATCTGTTGGAGTTCCGCAGGTGCTCTGGTTGGCTGAGTGGGTCTGTAGATGTGGGTCTTGGTGTATTTGTGGGAGAGGGTGAGCTGCGAGCGCCCTTCTACTCCGCCATCTTCTCCGTCTTCAACCTCTAAAGGATGAGGTTTTAAAAAATATAAATAGAATTTCTAGCCTCCTCTGCTTGTGCCCCAGTGACCCCTCCCAAGTGGACACCTCAACTCTGACACTACCAGTCGGGAACAGGTGGAGGCCTCGCTGTTGCTGGCCGAGAATCGGGACTTAATGCATCCAGAGATTTGGGGCAGGCCACAAGCCACACGCCAAAGATATCATGTGACCATCCAGACATTTCCAGAAGGATGCCTGGTTCCCACCACTTGTAGAAGGCGTAATTTCCCTCTGAACATACCCAGTCAAGAGACCACATTAGTCCGAAGTTGCTTAGTGAGCACAGAATGAGAACAAATGGAACTGTGGTCTTTAGGGATATCTCAGCCAATGAGAATAACGATTGAACAGGCCTTCTCCTCTCTGGGGGTCTTTCTGTCCAAATAACCAGTGCTGGACCTCAGATAAATACTGACATATCTTACCTTTAGCTTTCCTTTTTTTCTAGAATCATCTTAGACACCTGTCCTTTTGTGAATACATCACCACCTCAGAAAATAAGAACGCATTTGATTGGACTGAAACTTTGAAGTGTTAATTGCATGTATGTTCGGCCTAAGACACAGTTGCTTTGCTTCAGGCTGGAGCAGGACTGGGGACTGGTCGACCCTTACAGGCTCCTGGGTTGTTAATGTGCTCTCACCCAGCAGGACAAGCTGAGTCCTGCTGACCCGGGGGGCTCGTCTTTGTTCCTTCCTAGAACTCCGGTTGGTGAGAGGGTTGCAACTTCTGGTTTGATTTAGGGGTTATCTTGAGAGGCTCATTTTCAGCCAGCTGGGAGCTCCTCTCACCACATCTGAAGCTGGATCTCGGGCCAGGAAGAGGCCTCAGCCCTTAGATCAAAGCTATCTAAACAAGAGTTAAGATTCTTTCTTTTCAGATATTTTTCTAACCAATATCATATCACATTCTTCTTCCCAAGAGGAAACCAGTCTATTTTTCTCCTACTGAAAGTTATGACATTGCAATTTTTTAAAAAAGAACTTAAAACAGCACTAAGACTTTTTGTGACACGTGCAACAGTGGGTACCCCTGTTTTTACCTTAATGAAGACACTTGCAAACATATTTTGTACTGACTTACTGGTTGTATATTGCCATTCGCTTATCTAGATGTCACTGTATCCTAGACGTCTGAAGAACAGAAATAAATAGCATTAATTAAATAAGAGGATACTTTAATATCTCATAATATAGCAGTACTGTTCATTTAGGATAAATTAGGATTTGGGGATTAGCAGATACAAACTACTGTATTTAAAACAGATAAACAACAAGGTTCTACTATATAGCACAGGGAACAATATTCAATATCCTATAATAACACATAATGAAAAAGAATATGAAAAAGAACATATATATACATATATAGCTGAATCACTATGCTGTACACCAGAGACTAACACAACACTGTAAATCAGCTGTACTTCAATCAGAATAAATATGAGACTGACGCGCTGCCTACTGCGCTAAGGAGACAGATAATCAGAATAAATAAATAAATAAAAGTACCTGAGGCGTGGCATATTGAAAGAGCCATCATTTATTTTAAAAAAACAGCTGAAATTATTGTATATGTGCATTAGTTGCATAAAAGGAAGGGAAAATACAGTAGATAGAAACTAATAGAATAGAATTGATTCAGTGTGTTCTTTCAAGGAAAAATATGGCAAAAATCAATTTAAAAAAAAACATTCATTTTAGATGTTAAAAGAAAATTCTGCACAGACAGTTTACTGATCTAGTAGACTTTTGTTCCGAGACTCATGAATCAGGCAGCCTCCAATCTAGCAGATAAGCATCTTGGAAGAGCTGTACGAGGTGAGGGATTTTTGTAGACCAAGGGGAGCAGGGAGAAGGAGGTTATCCTGGGCGGTGCTGACTGGCTGAAGCAGGGCATACTCTCACATGAGCAGAGGGAAGGCTTGGAGCTGTCAGGTGCCCTGAGCGGAGCAGGCAGGTGCTGACAGGATAGCCTGGACCTTCCTTCCCTGAGCAAGCCGAGCACAGAAACTGTTCAGTTTTGATTTGCTGACGTGGGGCTTAGCATGAGTGACTCCATCTTGGCCTCATCGGGTGACTTCAACATAGGTTTAGTATTAAAAGTAAAGGCTTTAGTAACTGTCTTAAAGCACGTCCATGGATTTCAGTCCTTAGCTGTGCTGGGATAGGTAGACAGAAATGTGCACGTTCAAAAGGAACTTCTCCCCTGTAAGTAAAGTCGAGTCGGCTCTTGGTCTCAAATTCTTGGTCCATCTGTCCTGATGGGATGTGAGTCCTCCAGCTGGGTGTTTTCCATTCTGTCCTGTGAACTGCCTTTCTCCCGGGGCCGCTGGCTACTACCAGGCAGTGAGTGGGGAGGGGATGGGTACATCTGTGTCTACCCTGTGAGTTCAAGGGTAGAGGCTGATTGTGGGCCCTCAGGTGGGCTCAGCTCAGCACTCCCACCCAACATAACACCCCACAGGCTGGCGTGTCCCCTGGAGTCTTCAAGGAGGAAGAAGCTGGAGGCAGGGAGACCCTCCCTGCCCAGCAACTCACCTCTGGGGGTTTTGGAGCAGGAAGGATGGGGAGATGACTGGCTGGGTCATCCCTCCTTTTCCCCCAGTTCCTCACTTCTGCAGAGCTTCCATGCTCCCCACGGTTGTGTTCCTGCTGCACGTGGTGTCTGAGCAGCTGCTGGCTGGAAGCAGGCCCTGGTTATTCCAAGGCAAAGGCAGATGAGAAGCAAGAGCAGAAAACCAAAGACTCTATTCGTAGGCTGAGGTCGGCCCAGGTGTTTCTTGCATCAAACATAAGCATGAGCTCAAAACAGCCACACTCTCCCCTAGAGTGACACCAAGGGCCTCTCTCCATTTTCTCCTCTTTTGACATTTACTCTTAGAGCCCCTCCAGGACTGCTCTTGGTAGGAACTGTCAATCCTTAATCAAATATTTTATGTACTTGCACACATAGAACTTTTGGAAAGTCAAAGATATGTTAGTGGGGATTCTGTGCAACGTTGCTCAGCAGGTAGAGAAGACCAGAGGGCTGCTGTCAATGGAAATGTATTAAAACTCAAGAGACGGGGCTCTCTTCCGTGACTGCCATGATCGCGGTGTGAATTACCGTTTTCTTTCTCCTCCGCAGGGAATTACTGGAATGCTGCCTCTTTCCCAAACCCATCATCGTACCTGCATTTCTCGACTTTTCAAGGAGAAACTAGTGCCGACATTTCCTTCTACTTCAAAACTCTGGTCCCCCGGGGAGTGTTTCTTGAAAATCTGGGGAACACAGATTTCATCAAACTCGAGCTGAAATGTGAGTATAAATTCTTTGTCAACTCACGAATAGCTACTCTTGTCACTTCAGGCTGACCTGAACCCCGATTATGTAATTTCATTGGATTCAAGCATCAGCGGTCTCCTTTGTTCCAGAAGCAGTGCTGGGAGGGAGCAGCACAACTTGAGAAAGCCCTGGGCTGCGGGGCTCAGATTGCTCACAAGGAAGCAGGCACATGGAGATTCCCACAATGCTGTTCGAGTGAGATGAGAATAAATCACTCTAGCAATATAGGAGAAGACTGTGTGTTTAAAGTGAGTTTGTTTGTGTTTATTTTCTGAGGAGACAGGGTTAAGAGTAGGGAGAGGATTGGGTAGAGTGATCAGAAATAAGGAGCAAGAGGATCGGGGTAACAACACTAAGGAAAATAGGAACAATCAGAATTAAACGTCTACAGAGTTAATGAAGCAGCCTGGGCACAGTACTGTGTGACGCGGTGGAACTTTGAGTCTGCACTTTCCAGAGGAGGCCCCATATCCACACACCGTCTGAAGGTTTGGGTTCTGATTGATTTAGCCAAGGGCACAGAAACTACCAGAATCCCAGCTCCATCAGTTTGTCTTGGATCCCAAAGACCCTCACGAAGTCATGTGGTCGGGGATGCCGTCCATTGAAGGAAGGGGTTCGTGGGATGCGGGCAGTGCAATTCACATCATAACAGGGCCCTTTTATCCTTGGGGCGTAAGTGCAGCTTTAGGAATTTATGTCCAGAGACCTCCAGGTTTGGTGAATATGTGCACACGCCAGGCTCTCCTGCCTGTTCAGACCAAGACAGAATCAGCAAAGGAACAGACAGGACCAGGAGGGGAAAGCAAGTCAGTGCCGCCCTGTCCCTGCACGAAATCGCGGTGCCTGTTCCCCGCATCACTGTCCTTCCTCCTCGTCTGTGGTCATCATCCGAGCGCCCATGTGACTGGGTCTGGTCCAGGAATGATCCCACACCTATTTCCCAGAAATGGCTGATGGAATAGTTGTCTCTCTTTGTAGTTATAATTGTGCAGTGTGGTCTTTGAAAAAGGGACTCTCGGGTATCTGTCGTTCTGCTGAAATCCTATGGGATTCTTTCTGTAAAGTGGTGGACAGTGGTAGAGGAGAAAGTGTGTGGACTTTGGAATTCTCATTCTTAGGTTGAAATCCAAATCCTTGGGAACTTGCTTAATCTGTTTGAATCCCAATTTCCTAACCTGTGAAGTGGGGATGGTAATTTGTGGAGGTTGTCTTGATGCTGGAACATAGATATTCATGAGGCGTTTCTTTCAGTGTTGTGTGGTCGTAATGGTCATCTTCCTGGACGTGCTCGTTATAGCTCTAATATGAACCAAATCTGACCGAAAGACAGCAGAGAATAGTCTAGCCCTAGAATTTAAAAGTGAATAAACAGAAATCCTCTCTTTTGTGAATTATGGACTAGACTTACTTAAAAGGGATTTTTACTTTCCACCGCACATTGAGTCGAACTGTTTTCTGACCTACACATAGTTGGATGGTATTTTAGAAATATCCCATGGCAAAAAAAGAAAATTGATAATCCCATATTTGGGTTACTCTATAAGCTCCTAAAAAATTACTTGGATTCACCCTGTCCTTGTTTGGTTCCCCACATTCAGTGAACCCAGGTCTGGGTTGGAAAGAAGACAAAAGAAGTGTAGAAAGAGCAGGTGTCTCCACTTAGAGATCTTCAGAGTAAAAGTTCACTTTTTTCTAATTATGAAAAACTTCATAAATATGTTAGTTTTCTCAGCATTTCCATGATATGAAAACCCTGTGGCAAAGGGTGAATGAAAGCCTTGTTTTGTCCTATAGCTCTCGTCTGTCATGTAGTTTACTTTTGAGAAAGTGTGAGGCACTCAAGGCAGGAATGAGAAGCTGGCTTTTCCTCGGAGTTCTAATAATTACGAATAACCTTCTAATAATGACTAAGGTGGAAATGGCTATTTATAAGAACCCCCAAATGTCCACTGTTACACAGCATCTCCATTAGGGCTCAAAGGCATTCATGGGGGGGAAAGGTCAGGTTTCTCTATCTGATCAAAACTTTATGAAGAACATGGAGAGAAGATGGCCGTGACTGAGGCTTGCTGCTACCCATCTGCCACATTTCTCCCGGCTCTTCTCTGCAGGAGCCCTGGGGCAGCGGGCAGAGAGGGAGGGTTCTCTCGGGCCCATTTTTCTCTTCCGCTGAGGAGTCCAGCAGACCTACCTGCTCACGCAGCGAGGGCTGGCCCCCTGGGAGGGCTTGGAGACCAGGGTTCCTGGAGTCAGACTTTCTAAAACTGTCTCTCCTTTTTCCCCCTTTACCTTGTTAGCCTTTCTGATAGAATTCAAATTCTGTTTCTCTGCGTGTGTCTCAAAGGACTTTTGTCGCAGTGCATGCCTGCGTGGTGGTTTCCAGGATGACACTTCTGTTAATTAGCGATATCGTGCCCTTCTGTCAGAAGGAGAAGATTCTTGACTCTAAGAACTAAGTGAATGAGGTGCCGTCAACATCTTAACGTGCAAGTAAAAAACATACGCGATAAAATTAGAGTGATGTTACTCACTAGTATACTTTGAAGGTAAAGTCTTCCGGCTGTGTTTCACTTACTCTCTGTACTTACTCATTCGTTCAGTGAGTATTTACTGAGTCCCTGCTATGCGCCGATGCAGTGCTAGGTGCTGAGGGAATGTGGTCCAGTCAAGCCTGGTTTCTTTCCCTCAAAGATCTGTTTGTTTTGGAAAGCAGTCAAGTAGATCAGTACTTATGAAAACAATAATAAAAAAATAGCTCAGCTTTACTCAGACGCCCTATGTCTCAAGCACTGCTCCCAGGATTCTACGCAGATCATCTCACTCGCTTTCCTAACCGCCCTTTGGAGTGGGCACTACCATCAGCATCTCTGTTTGACGAATGAAGAGACAGGCGCAGGGCGAGGAGGCGGCCCGGCCACGGGCACACAGCGGGAGAGCGGCCGGGCTGGTGTTGGGCCCCAAATGTTTCTTGTCCGTCCTGAGCCATTGCTTTCAACACCAAACCACGCTGCCTCCCAGAGCGGACAGACATAGAGAGAGATGGCTGAGAGCACCGAGGCGGGCATTGGCCCTGCCTGGAGGGACAGTGGTGCTTCCCAGCGAACATAGGGCTTTCCTTAAATTCTGATGGGTGAGCAGAGGTCAGGAAGGTGAAGACGGCTGGGGAAGAACAGGTGGGGTCAGGAGAGGAGAACACGGGTGAGTGAAGGTGTGGGGGGCTGGACCCGGGGCCCCAGAGGGAGAGTTCAGCAGGGAACCTGGTGAACTAGGGGCAGCAGAGCCAGAAGGGCAGGTAGCGGTCAGAGCATTTGGTACCAACTGGGCTGGGGGAGAGCTGGCTGCGCTCAACCCTGAAAGCTACAGTGAGCAGGGGCTAACATGATCAGAGGGAAGATGGAAAGCCAGACAAGACGCAGCGGGGGCTCGTGTGAAGACGGTGGCAGAGTGAATGGAGAGAGGGGAAGACGACAACGAAGGCTTATAGATGTGAGAGATGCTTAAGAGAGAGATTCCACAGAATCTAACAAAACAGCTGTGTGGGTGAAGCGGAATGGAAGGTTCTAGAATGAAGCCAGCATTTGGTTGTGATGGTTTTGATGATGTGATGTGTAAGTTGGACACCGTTAAGGGGTCCAGCAGGGGAGGGCAAAATGCAAAGTGCGTTTTGGATGTTTTGAGTCTGAGGGTCTGCAGGACGTAGGAGCGTCTATCCAAGTGGGCACACCTGGAGGGTGCTGTGGGTTCACGTCTGGAGCCCAGCAGAGCCGTCTGAGTCAGAAACGCGAGGAGCGCGGCACCATCACCTGGAGAATCACCAGGACATAAGCACTGGGCACCTTCAGCAGGGATGAGATTGCCCAGAACAAATGTGCAGTGAGAGAAAACACGGTGCTCGAGAATGGAAACCACAGTCAAGGGGCAGGAGGAGGAAAAGCAGCTTTTTGTAGAAGGCAGCAGAGAAGTGGGAAGACAGTGATCCCTGGGGAGCAAATAAAGAATTTCAGGAACAAACAAACAAACAGAAAAAGAATGTTTGATGCCACTACTTGGAGAGGCCACTAACAAAAGGGCAGACAGTGCTCTTCAGCTTTCACATGTAGGGGCCACGGTCAGAACGTAAGACAGTGTCTGCGGTGAGCGGACGGGGCGCGGAGATGAAGGGCCGGTGGGTGTGTTCACTGTTCTGGTTATTGTCAGCGGTGGGGACGTAGGCATGCCTCTGTATCAAGGAGGAAAACCCAGTAAAGAAAAAGAGGTCGGAGATTTGGGAGCGTAAGGGGCCGGCTGAAGGAGTGAGGTCCCCAAGGAGGTGGGGAAGAACGAGACTCAGAATCAGAACATCTGAAGGGGCCGAGGGGCACAAAGTAGGGAGGAGAGCATCGGCCAGGGACTAGGAGGTCCGTTTCCAAATCGGAAACGATTTTTGTTTCTGTTGTTTTGTTTGCTTATTTGTTAGTGTTTTTGAGATGGCTGAGGAGTATTGCTTTAAATAAGATTCACTAACAGTCACAGATACATCCATTTCTTTTTTCCGAGCTCCCCATGGGGAACAGCTTGACTGAGTCTCTAGATCCCTTTTCTGAGCAAGGTGGTCCCACCATGTCCATGACCACAGTCCCATCATCAGGCCACCTGTCCCGGCCCACCTGCGGTATCAGAGGCACCAGGGTAGATCCTGGAGGGTCTAAGGTGAAGACAAGAGAACCCAACATCCTCACCTGCTGGTCAATAACAGAAGATGATGGATGCATTTTCTAAGTGAGTTTTCTGAGTGCCAGGCACTGTTCTAAAGCTGTTACAAGTCTTAACGTTTTTCGGTTTTGTAACACATTTTTAGGTTTTACCCACATTTTACAGACAAGGAATCTGGGGCGCACTGGTTACACAGCTGATTTCAGACATGATCACTAAAATACTATAAATGGATTAAGCGATAGACATCAGATACTATAAATGTCCAGAGGAGCAGT